TGTGTTTTGAAAACTTTTCTTGTCTTCTCAAAACTCCAAATTTCAAATAAGAAAGACACCATTTGTGATTCGAAAGAGTCACTTCTCGCAAAATAATAAAATGTATAGATGTCAAGTCAGAAAATCCTGTGTATTTTGCAAACTTTGTGCATAAGCAAAAAGAGACCAGAAGATTGAAAAAAGTGCATGTTCTCCTTAAAAAAAAATCTGTTCTTGCATGTTTGTCTAAAATAATACATACTTGTCCAATTATGGCACAAGAAAAGTGCAGCTACCTTTCCTGTAATTTTTGGGCTGAAATACTGGATTTGTCAAAGTTAGTTGAGCTTCAGTCATTACCTTTTGTAGGACAAATTTTCCAACCACTTGCAAGTAGTATTTTTTCTCCATCCATCTTTCTGTGGAGGCTTACTAGAAATACAGCACAAATTGAATTGTCTAAAGCAAGGCATTCTAAGACTTCTCATTTTAAAGCTATATCTGGTTTCTGTTGAGTCTTCTGCTCAGCACATCTATATCACTTTTCTCTTACTGCTCAGGCAATTAATTACATCTTAGAACACCCCAGGGATAGAGGTATTTTTGTCTCGTTCTACCAGTGAGGAAGCCAAACTACAAAATATTGAGCAATTGTCCAAGGTCACTGAGAAAACAAGGAGTAGAACTAATAATCCAAATTCCTGTGCAGTATGCTCTCTCCACACATATGGAGTGAAAGAGATTTTTTTTTTCTCACAGAAAAGAAAACTGTTTTGTTCTGAATCAAAATCAACTTCTGTTTCTAAAACACCGAAATGTAAATCAAAAATCCAATTGAACCATTACACCACTTGCTGTTATATACATCTTAACTATCTAATCAGAATAGCTCTTTCGAATCTTTTCCTGGCCACCTTTCCAAAATAATTGACCAGAAGTTCGTAAAACTGTGCCCAGTAATTGTGGGCAATATTCAGATGTTAAATAAGTTACTTGGAGGAAAAAGTGATCGGATCTTGATTATTACCAGGACAAAGCAATGACTATAAATGAAAAATAGTAAGGAGATAATATATTCCTATGTAAATCACATGCCATTAATATATATTTTTATTTTTAACTCATCCATTATTGTGATCTGCCCTTTAGATATTGCATTTTTTTCTTCTTTGCATATTTGAAAGACTTCTATTAAATTCTGGAAAATTCCATTATAAGGTTGCAGAATGCTAAATGAAGAGTTAAAGATATGTGATTTTCTCAAATCTTTACATAAAGACATTTAGCATGTGATGATAACCACCACATGGATAGACCAATGAATTTTTCTGTGCTTTCAATAATGCATAGGTAAAATAGTAAGAAAGAAACAACTTCATATATACCTATCTCTGTGCTATAAATCTTACTCTTTCGATCCCATATTCAAAGAAATTTCTCAGGTTAAAAATTAAATTATCTTTTTGCAATCTGACTCTCCAGTAAAAAAAAAGCATACTAAAATTCTGTATTAAAACAGACCAGAGCTATGGGGTCTCCTAGCAGTTGATCAAAAAATAATCTTTAAAGGCAGCCTCAAGTAATGTATCAGTTATATCTGTAATAAATACTGGGATCACTTCTATAACTCAGTGAACACAGTAAAGTAAATATGAGTCCATCTGAACCATAAAAAGCAGTGCAAAAACACTAACATGGAAATTCAATCAGACATAAACCAAGGATGCTGATTGCTTGTGATAATAAGAATTAATTTTATATCCTAAAGGTGAGCTTCAACTACCAATTCACAGGAGCATATAGAGGTTTGGAAGACATGTGCAATGTAATTAAAAGAGCTGTGCCCATGTCTTCACATTTCTTAGCAAAGTACCTATGACACTGTCACACCCAAAGCAATCCTTCAGCCCAAGCACTCTCAGATTCCTCACCTATAAGCTCTTAAGTTTCCATCATGCTGCAATAACTTATTCTTTTAGGTTCTGAAAACAAAACATAAAATATTTCTCCTTGAATAAGAATGGCAGAGTTGCCAATAACACCAAACTCCTGAAAAAACTGAACCCTCTGCCTTCAGTTATTAAGCTGCTTGTGTGGATTTCTTTTTAACCATAGTCTTTGACACCTGGTAGCACTGGAGATGGTCAAAAGTGAAAAGGACAGGGAATGAGTGTGGTCTGCTAGAGCAGAAAGACTGGATGGAAGTCTGGATGTCACCAAGGGAAGAGGCAGGTCAGACTGCACAGGGTTCTTCTTCCCAGGAATGAGAAAAAAGGAAAAAGAATCAGCATTAGAACACAACAACCACCCTGCACCTTTCTTCGCTCTTGGGCTGTTGCCTGCTCTTCACCTGAAATGCCTCTCAGTTTCCATTTCATTAACATGGCACTTTCTTAAGATTAAGTACTTGTCATTTTCTTAAGATGAATTATGTCCAGGCTCTTTCCTTCCCCTTTTGGCACAGTCTTTCAGAGAAGACCAGGCTCACTCACTTTTCTCCTGTTCTCACAGTGAAACTCAGCCTGGTAATCAAACTTTCAACCCTTCTGCTACCCAATGAGCTACCTAAATCTCTGTGTGACTGCTGAGATAGTCTATAGGACTCTAGCCTTTTAAGATTGTTCCCAAAGACAGATTTCCATTCTCAGAAGCTCCTTTTCTTCTCTTGGTGCTGAAAGAAAAAGGTTACCTTGGAGTTCTGGAAGGAAGACTTCAAAGAGCAGCTTTGATGTCAGCAAACCTGTAATGTTTGGCACACAGGTATAAAAGGTTGTTCATTAAAAACCCCTCTAGGAGAAAACCACTAGCAATCTGATTTCTCTTTTGGTGTGGCTGCATCTAGTAATGTTCTGGCACTGTGTGGTTCAGAGACTCTTGGTAGTGCTGCTTCCTATCATCTTGCTTTCTCCACAATAAATATTTAAACCTTTACTGCTGTATGTGGGCTAGATACCAGAGTTTTCCCAGTCAAAGGCTGTAGTCCCAGAATTTCCACATCTATTTTGTCTATGGAGTCACCTCACTTCTTATTTCAATGATGCTGTTTAAGCTTCAAATCAAGGAAATAGGTCCACAGTGTTACTGAAAAAAAAAGAATGTAAGAGTCTTGTACCACAAATTATGATTCATTTTTTGTTCCATATCAGAAGCTGGTACAGTCACAGGAGCAATTTGCTTCATGAACAGTCAAGGAAAAGTAGTTTCCTCCAGTTGGTACTATAAAGTCTTTTTTTACTGCATGAGTACTACCAAAAAGACTGTACATTTCACCTTTATAAGAAGGTGCTTCAATCTGGACAATGGTGAGGGGACTACAAAGGAACAAGAAATTGGCTTGTCTTTGTGTTATAGATTTACTGAATATTTTTTACTACTTCAGTCATTCTCATTTATATAAATGAAGCTTTTCTTTTTCATATAAATCTTTCTTGTCCCCATGGCCTCTCTTCAAATGTAGTAACACTTCAGCAAAGGGTAACTGAAGCTGAAAAAAATTTACAGCAAAATGCCATTTTTAAAGGGTGTAATGATATATATTGCAGAGGCAGGATTTTTAAATTCACTATACAGAAACTTATTCCCTGTAGGAATGAGAGACCTGAGGATTTAGAACCATATCGTATTGGCTGCCACTTCTTCAACCCTCTAGGCAGTAGCTTTCCACAGCAAACTGGTTTCTTGTGACCATAAAACCCCTTCTTTTCAAAAAGAGAACCTCCTGAAGAACTCAAAGAGAAAGAAAATAAATGCAGTGCGCCAAAAAATCACAGTAGGAGTGTTTCTTGTTCCATAGCAAGATCAACTGCTGCCAGATCTTTTCCAGAGGTGCCCACTCCATTCATGCTAGCCTGAACTCACTTTAGCTCTACCGCTGCTATTCCCCTCGTACCTCAAGGCAATGAGATAATGAAGAGCAGTTGCAGAGAAGACATCTTGCAGAAAAGAAATAGCTTTCAGAATTTTAACAGTGTTTTTATGGTTTATATTTTCATTTCTCATAGTGACATATTTTTGCAAAAGGAATATTTGATACCTGATTTAACCATTTCGGGATTTTTGCCTCATGACAGATATTTATGTTCTTAGTGGCTTCAATGGTCAGCAGTCATTAGCAAAAACAAGATACCAGGAATGCTGCAGTGTGGCATGATATGATACACTGCAGCTTGTGCATTTACATTTTAATCACTCTAAGTGTGATCAGTTGAAGTCAGTGGAAGACAAAACCAGAAATAATTTGATGACCTACTGTCTGATTTAGAAGATAACTCAAGTTTTAGGTTCAACTGCTGGACCAGGACTGTAGGAAGTTTACTAATTGTGCCTTTGGGATGGTTAAATTCCAGAAATACCATGTCAGGGAGGAAGAAGAAGATTTGTAGAAGCACTATAAAAACTGAACTAGACTTACAGTTTTTAGCTTATTCTTCCTGAGCATATTTGATTCACTAAATATGAAAAAGTGTTCTAAAGATACTGCAAAGTAAAATCTCCTCTTGCTTCATGGTAGCTTCACCTCTACACATTTTTCTTCCATTATTTTCTTTCTTTGGTCTCAAATGGAAATTAAAAATCAAATATATCTTTCTTATCTTTTCATGATTCAACTCTTCATCTTGTTACCATACCAACTGCATTAAATGCTGTTCAGATTTCTGCTTTAACTTAAATACTAGAAACTCAAAACATCAAATAAATTCTGAACTGGCAGACTAATGCAGGATTTTTCCAGAGCTGACTGTACCGCCAACACAGTAGTTATTCATTCTTTGCTGAAAGTGGAGGAGTAAGGCTTTTTTTTCTACCTAAGATAGACAGGTTTCCTGTGTAGAGAAGTAGGTTAGTTTTCTGTAAGTTTTTTTGTGGGAGGATAAAGAAGTGGATGATAACACCATCCTCATTTCGTTTTCTAAAGCTTTCAGCCAGAACCCTCAAGAATTTTGACAGCCATTAGCAGTGGCATCCCTTTGTTCTTTCAATTTTAGATATTTACAAAACTTGTTTTTCTCTTCTGTTTTTAGCACAAGAAGAATGGGCCACGACCCGTTCCAGCCTAAAGGCACCACCTCCAAGGTCAGCCAGAGGGGGATACAGGGAACACCCCTATGGTAGATATTGAAGGTCCTCCTCTTCTGTGACCTCATCTCAAAGACAATTAATAGCCTGTGGTCTCCACATAAACAGCAACAAGACAAGTAATAGTCCATTTCTTTTCTATCCTAGGAATTACTGCTCATTATTATCCTATGTACTACTTGTATTTCCTATAACATTGGCGTGACATTGGCATTAGTATTATTTTATAACACGGACTTAAAAAAAACAGAGACAAAAAAACCTTTGGCAAGTATTGTCTATAAACTATTCAAAGATGATGTTCTGTTGGTTGTATTCATTGCTGTGTGTAACTAAAAAGCATGACACTGTTACAGCTCTTGAGTCTCTACATACTAGTTAAGGCTGAGTTTCTGTTTAGGGTTGCTGAAAGACTGTAATATGATCTTTTTTTTTTTTTTTGAGCCAGACAATAATCAAGCTGTAGATAAGATGTTTTAACCTGTCTTTTTTAATATATGTTAGTTTAGATTAAGATGCTCGATATTAAGTTTGTAAATTTAATTTTAAATGCTGTTTTAATGGGGTTGAAAACAAGCAGCTACTGTATGTATGTAGCTAACTGAAGTTGTTCAGTGTTTTAACCTGTATTTGTTAAAAAAAATCACTTAAAGTTCCATGTGTAAGCTTCTCTAAATAGGAAACCATAATTTTGTCAAATATGTTTGCCATAATTTGTCAATAAAGCTGAAACCTTTTGTAACAAACTAAATTTGGAATTACTTGTTTTCTAGCTTTAAATGCCTGCTTTATTTCTTTTTCAAGAGATGCCTAAAATGTTTTTATATAAAAATTACAAAAATGAACCCAAGCCTGTTTTAAGATTTTTTGTGTAAGACTTTAAAAGTTGTATTAATAACTTCTGGTTGTTAAATAATATAAAAGTTAACAAACTAAACTGTTACATGAATCATGGTTAGTATCCACTAATGTATAACATGTTAATGGAAAAAAATGCTTTAGAACAATAAATGGATTTTAAACTATCCTTTAAGCTTGATCTTGCTAAACACAAACTCTGATTGACTTGTTTGTATTAGCATGTCTCTCGTGAGAATGTAATGGAGTTTAAAGAGGTAAGATTACCACTTACCACTGTTAGACTGTCTAAATGCTAGTTCTTCAACCTTTGAGTTTCCCCGCACATTAAATATCCCATTCAACATGTAAGCATTGCATAGATTCACCTATTTGTTTTCACTCAGAAGAGTGCGTTGACTGCATTTTTCGTAGTATTTAACAATTTGTCTTGATAAACAAATCATCAGTGTCACTGCCCAGCTGTTGGTACTCAACTTCAAAAACTTTATTTGTAATTTTCAGTGCTAAATATCACCGCCCTTGAAGGCAGTTTAGAGGGCTGATATTTCTTTTGAGACTATCAGACTTGATGGCTGATGATTATTAAGGAAATATGTCGCAGGACTCAAAGGATGACTAAACGTTAAACAGGTAACACTAATAGTAACTCTGTAATTTTGAGTATGCAACAGTAATGTAAAATATTCTCAGTTATTAAGTTACTGATAGTTAAAAAAGTAAACCTACCAAAAGATAACAAATAGGTATATAGGCGATTAAAACAACTAATTAACATTAACTAGTGACAAAAAAATTATTCTACAATATATAACCCTCAAGGTAATAAACAGAACTAAAATTAACAATAATAGTAATGCAACTCTTGCTAACAACAAATATATAACCTAAATTTTGATGAAGACAAAAAAAACAACAGAAAACTTGATGGTAGGGATGCCAAAACTGTTAATCCTTTCAGTACAGTCTTTTTGTTTACAGTGGCTTTTTGTCAATGTGATTGGTTTACTTTTTTGATGCGACTAAAGTACAGGCCGATTGCTGTTCAGTTTGTGAACAAAATCTCTTGCAGCTGGAGTTGCATGCTAGCTCTTTTTAAATAGTTTATGATGAGTATGTTTTGTCCTTTGAAGTATTAAAGTGAATTTAGTAGGCTACGTGATGGTTACATTGAGTTTATTCTGTCTCACTATTTCAGGGACTCACAGGCACTGGACAGCTAAGCAGCAGATCTGCTGGCAAGTGGTCAGGTAAGCTCTGCTGCATCTCAGGGGGTTTTCCTGTTTCCTGTTTTATCTCTGTATTTGTTTTTACTGATGCACAGAAACATATTCAGCTACAGTTTTAAAATAAATGTCTTTCCAGCAATGCTTCTCTGCATATCAGCATAGTGATCATGGTATAATGGCAATCAAACCATTTACATGTGTGTTATGATACTCTTCATTCCAATAAAAAAAAAGTCTTGTCATCTAGCCTTTTAATGGTAAATATTAAGATGATGTACTTTATAACTGCTTTTGCTAAAAACAGGTGCTTGTGTTTATTAAAAGCATGCCTACATTTTGGATAGTCACGTAGCAAAGAAAAATGCAATGCTAGATTGTCTTTGCTTCTGAAAATATTTGACATTTCTTCCTATGAAAATTGTATCTGTATAGAGACAGGAAGTTTTATGCTTGTTCTTATGCTTGGTAGCTTTTTTATTCTTTAGAATGGCAGGGACATTTAGGTATTACTGTGCAATGGCATGGATGGAGGCTTTACTTATATTTCTCTGTTAAATACATTTAAAGGTATATCTTGGATGACCTTCTTAAATAGACTTCAGTTTATAGGTGAGATTTTTGACTGAAGACAAATGTCATTGCTGGAAACAAAAAAAAATTTAAAAAAAATCAGCTCAGTTACAATTTTGTCCATGGACTCAGAAGTGCTAACCCAGTCACAATAGAAAAAGTAAAAATTCTTGTCATCACTCTTAACTAGATAAGATTACACAAATACACAATCCTAGACACATTTATTACTCTGGCATCTTTTCCCATGAGTGTGGTCTGGATGATGTAACATTTTCCAGGTTTGGTGGTACTCAACAGTTACTTACAAACCACAAGTTGTATTGCATAACAAGATATAAAGGGTTTAATCTTCCTCTCCAAAGAGGTGCCTCAAGATCTTTATAAATTGGTTTTATTGATGTGTACAACCACCCTACAGACCAAAGTGATATAGTATGGCATTAAGGTTTGTCTGCATATTACAGTCGCATCAGTGTGAGTGTGCCACTGTAGGAAAGTCTTCCATCTACCCACCTTGCATGTAGTTACACTAATTTGCTTTGGTCAGTATATAGCTCTACTGAAAAGAAAGATGCTTTCCATTGCTATAAATAGTTTCATGCTGGTATAACTGTGATTATTATATATTATAGATTATACTATATAACTATTCCAGGAAATTCTTCTATGCCTTGCTGAAATGATTAACAACAGAAAGCTGTGAGCAGGTCATACCTGATGTAAGTGAGATCCAGGACAAAGTAGATAAAATTAATTTCTCACTTGTGCATCACATTTTTATGTGAGGGTAACTACTGCGAACTCCTTGAGGATGGACATCAATAAATAAAGCTTTATAGCAGAGCAGTGTCCTTTAATATTCCTGCCTCCAAGTCTACTTTGCAGCCACTACTTGTCTAAATTTTAAAAATGGCAGAAAATGTCAGTAAAATGATGCATTGTGAAATAGTCTTACATAAGAATTATTTTGAAAAAGTAGGGTAAGTCAGTGCAAGCAAACAGCTGTTTATGCAAACATTTTTTCTATTGATTTTCAGGAAAATAGTATGAAAAATTACCCAAGACTACATGTGCTGTTCAGTGCTAACTAAAAGTATATTTCACTACTGTTTCTGAAGAAGCCTTGCAGTTAATCAGCTATGTCTTAGGAAAAAACATAATCCACATGATTAATTTTTGAGAGTGTAACAACAGAGTCTGATTATTCTAATTAACAGCTGTCTTCAGGTCTTCCATGAAAAGATGTGACACATTCCACACATCCACCATCAGGTCAGCCGCAATTCTGAGGTCCTGAAAACTCATGTGCACCACCAGAAAACATGTAATTTCACTCATGCTAGAGACCACTCCAAGACACTTGTCACCAACCAAACATTTTATATGGCTTAACTCACTTGCCAATTAGTTTTGTTTGTAATATGAAGAAAAAAGCAATATAAAATACCAAAATAAGTAAGTGAAGAACACTGGGAAAGAGAAGCTAAAAATGCAAATTTTTTGTTGAAATATTTTAAAGATTTTTTTGTTTGTCTGTGTTGACTCATATATAGAACAGTTTGATTTTTAGAAGAACGTAGTGCTATATAGTTTTTTTGCACTTCTTTAGTAGTTAAGTCAGCAAATTCTATTCTGTTTAGCAGCCTTTTTGCATGTATTCAAGAGCCATTCTAACTGAAAAAAATAGATATTTCTAGAGCAGCAACTTTTATTAGAAAATGGAGTAGCACCATGTAAGTCTTTCCTATTCGGCTCATCTTACAGTGTTTAAACAAAGATCTTAAATCTTCATATGAATAAATGAAGAACCTCAGGAAGCACAGTATATCTGACCTCACCACAGAGGATATTGGCAATGTTCTTGTAGTTTAATGAGATCCTCACCCTCCATGCAGAGCTACAGCCATAAAGCCAAGCAATCTCTATCCCCTTACTGCACACCCCTTCCCTAGCCCGGCCACGATTGCTCCATTTTATTTAGACATGTGCTGACTTCCAAACTGCCTCACACTGGTGTTAGTGATGGGGAGCGAGGGCATGAGGAGCACATCACTGTGTCTGTGGTGGCTCCGAGGAAATGAGAGCAGACCTTGTGAGTGAGCATGGCAGGATGGAAGGGGCTGTGTCTGTATTGCCAGGGAGCTGCCAAACCCCAGCCAGGACTGAGGTACTGAGCTGCTTATCAGGAACTGAGTAAAGCAATCAAGTTACCATTAGGATCAGGATAACTAACATATATGAGTCCATCTGTTGAAAGGCTTATTATTTCATCATGACAATATGGATTTATGGTAGTCCTCATGAAATATCATCCAGGATTATTATCTGAAGGTTAAAATCAAGAAGTAATCAATGTATTGTGTTCAAATAAAAACCAATTTGGTCTACAGTAGTGATGTATTTCCTTCCTATTTGACAGTAGGTGTGTTGTTTTGTGAACTGTCTTTCTAATAAGTCCAAAGCTTTGCAAGATTCAAATATTGCAGCTACAAACCTATAAAGGGATAATCATCAAATTAGCTAAACATTGGAGAGAAGTCTTTGACAGTGAATGAAAGAAGGCTGTGATCCATTAAGGAAAGGAAACCCTAGAACATTTTCCATATTGTATTACATTAACATGCAGAAACAAGTTGAGACTGTATAAAGGTTAAGTAGGGACAGCACTGGATATCAATGTTCTTCATGCAACCTTCATAGAGATACCTCATATTCTGTAAAGCTTACTGGTAAATTTCCTTTTGTTTATGGAAAAATACTGTGTAAAAGGAAGAGACAACTGAGAAACTCTACCTAAATTACTTAAATAGCTATACATTTTGAGAGAAAATTGTTCTCCTGTTGTCTTCTGTGATTTCTTTTGTGAAAGAAATACCAGATCTAAACAAGACTATAATCTCATTAAACAATCTGTTTGCTAACAATTTCTTAGCAAAGATGTTAAAGAAAATAGGTTTGGGGTTTTTTTAATAGGTATTACCTGAATTCTTTTATAATGTTGTAGAACTTCAATAAATGGCTCAAGACTACAAGAAGATAAAGCAGTTTGTGGCAAATATTCATAAAGTCAATATCATAGAATAGGTTATAAATTAATCCTACGTGACAAAGAACCAGTTTATCCCTATATCAGAATTTACGGATTTTTAGGAATCAGGAGGACAGAATTCATTTGTAGATGGATTTTCTTCAAGGTAGGATTAAAAAAAATAATTTCACTAAGAGATTACAAAGTTTTTACAAAAAAAGAAAGGCTATAATTGTAAAGGTTTGCTGTAGTTCAATGTCCAAAGAATAAAGATCATATTTGTTATCATTTCCTGTCATCCTCTGTTGTCAACAGATTAACCAAATTAACAAGTAATTAACAAGTAAAATCAAAGGAAAAACTGAAAAATATTTGAATACTGAACAAAAAAATACTGATAATGTCTTCTGAAGTCTTTTGTCCTCCATTAAAATCTCAGATACACTCTGTGACTTCTGTCAGTTATTAAAACACAAGAGTTATCAGAAAAAGTGTCACATTATCAGTTTTACTGTACTGGTCTGCTGAGATAAAACAGGAGCACAGGTAACTTTCTCAAACCAGTTATGGCTTCAGAGATGATCGCCATCATCCACTCTGTTCTTAGCTAATTAAATTTTTCTGATCATTACTGTTTATCATTGGAACCTGACAGAAAGCTTTGAAATCATTAAGTGATTTCAAGCCTTTCCTTTTTCTTCAATTGGTTTTGTTTGTGGTCCTGGCAGTCACATGCTAACATTCATTTGAAACATTAAGGAAAATGATTCCTAAAGAAAGGAAAGATTTGCTGATCTACATAGCTATTAGACAATTTATGTATGAGCTTTGCTCCTGAGAATGCTGACGTCTTTTGGTGGAGACATTGTATACAGTATTAATGTTCTGAAACCATGGAATCTGAAGATGAACTGTGCCTGCCAGTGTGAGTATAGGAAAGATTTTCTGTCCTTTCACAGTCTCTGGTGGACTAAGTTATTTGTATTAGATCTTGGCAGAACATGTTGAAATATATCTCTAAATTGTGCATATCTGGAATAAAGTCTTCATTCTCAAAGAGAAGCAGTTTTTGTCAACTTAAGCATAAGAAATACGGATTTCTAAGCTTCTACTAAAAACATGTCACTGTTTCAAAGGTTTGTTTTTCTCATATAAATCCTTTTAAAAGGCTGTGTTGGGTAGTTACTGAAAGACAATAAATGCCTCCTTTCCTAGAATAATTGAATTAATTTTGAAACCTATTATGCTTTACCAAAGAATAGCAAGATTTGCTGAAAATACAATTGCAGACATATTTCAAAATGTAAATCAGAAGGAAGGTTTATTGGAAGATCACACCCATGCTGTAATGGTATAGGTCATCATTCACATATTATAATGATAAATATGAAACAAAAAGATGTGCAGTTGATTGTCTGTATCCTGCATGTGCCCTAAGAACTTTTCAAGATGCCATATGGAAAGAATCAGAATTTTCTAATATCTTTTCACAACATTTGGATGTACAAGGAAAATAGAAATGCTTCAGTACTCTGATAAGAGTAGAATTAATTATGAAAACAATGTTTCTTGTTTATTTCTGTTGCTGCTATACCTTATTGATTTAATGGAGGTATAGTTTCTTGTTATACAGTGTTATTATACAGTGTGAGAATAGCTGCTTCTATCTTGTTTGGTACTGTTGTTGCCATGCTGGATGCATTAGCTCATGATGGATGGCTCACTCACAGGAAAGCACTGGATACTTCTGTTATGTGCCCTTGCCTTACAAGACCTTCACACTGTGTTGCCACCAACAAGTCAGAGGTACAAATTGCTGAGCTGCTCATCTGTGACTCAGCATTCTGGGGGGGCTTTCTTTATTTCTGCACAGTACACAGAACCACCTGTGCAGATGTTTTGTATCATGATTTACTGTATTCAATTTTAACTCCTTATTCATTGCTCAGCAAATAATTCATTATATTTCTTCCTGAACTTTATAACAATCCTGTACAACCAGTGGCAAAATTCAGTGAAAAGGTCTTGCCAATCCAGCTTCTTTCTTTTTATTTTCCCCCATTTTTTTCTCTTCTTCCCAGAAGAACATAATGTTTCATATACCTATTTTAGCTGAAAAGATAATCAAGGGCACTGTCTTTAAATGAAATGCTGCAATTTGCTAATAATACAGGAATTTAGTGTGGCATTCTCTGAGTATTTAAAATGTATAGGGTTCTTTTTATTATTCTATATGTTATTTTGAGTATTTAATACCTTTTTAATATCTGTTTTAGAATTCATGATGTAAAGATACAAACAACTGACAGGAATGTTGTATTACATTGAACTCCTGTTAAGCAAAGTCACTTTCTGATGGAGGATTTAATCCTACATCTAATGTAGGATTAAATGATATACTAAAAATCCATGCTGACATCAAGGACTGAAAAGGGAATATGAAATTCAGAATGTGATCTGTAGTCAGTTTTATAATTTCATTAAATTCAAACAGAACACTTATATGTTAAGGACTGGATTGCATCAATCCAACCCATGTCCTGCTTAGCATCAATGTGAAATAACTTGGATGCAGGAAGAGTACTTTAGCTACAGTACCATGTCAAGATTTTACTTTTCATGTCATCATAACCAATTTTCTCACATGCAGGAAAAATATTTAGTTGAAGATACTTGCTTGACACTGTTGCTTGTTCAGATCTCAACCTGGAAATCAAGTTCATCCATTCATGGTAGTCACCACTTTATTTTCATGAGAACTGTCACATTTGTGAAGGAGGCACAATACTTTTTGTATCACTGAACTTGTTTGCAGATCTAAGGCAAAAGTGGGTTGCCCCTTAGATTGTGAAGGCACATGGGATACGTGCTTTAGGGAACCTAGTGCTCATTTGAAAGAGTTATGGGCATGCCAGTAATGCTATGTAGTCCTTAAAAGCTGAAATAGCACCTACAGAGCTTAAAAGAAAATTGCTGCACTGAACTCAAAATGATTACTAAAGGCAGCAGGTATTTCAATCTCTGCCTTATAATGGAGAGTTAGAAAAACAGTGAAGCTGCATGATTTGGCTACAGTCACTCAGCAGGTCACAGTGATGTAATAAAGTGCAATTGGCAAAGCAGCAGGTGAGGGTAGGAAGCTGCATCAGGAGATGAAACACAGGATGCGTTCTGAGCTGGGATTTGTTTTGAGAACTGAACTCCCTTGCCCACGGTGCAGTTGTGCTGTCATCACTTGGTGCCTGCTGAACTTTACCAGGCAATTGGATGAAGCCACAGCAGAATGTGTGTGTATAGGGACCCTGCCTACATGTACCAGGTCTGCACTGAAGCCTGTTATTATTATCTTCACCAATTTCCTTTATAACCCTGTTTTTCTATAGCTGCATCACCTGTTGCCATGGTAAGTTTCTCATGCTGTATATCTTTGATGAGCAAGAAGGACGTCTTGAAACTGATAAGGGCTTGAGACACCTGCTAATACCCAATGTCCTCCTCAAAGAACTGAGCACAGTTGGATTGGACCCTAAAAACCTACATATTCTTAAACTTTATAGTACTGACAGTTCTAGAAATAAGTTTTATTTTATACCAATTTAGGGATCATTTTAGATTCAGAGTAGTTCATTTGGGTTTTTCTACTTTGGAGTCTGCTTAGCTAAAGTAATGGAAATAAGGCACCTGATTTTGTAATACCAAAAATAACCCTAAGAATATCTTTAAGGATCTAGAAAGCAGATAGTTTATTGGTGTAATAACACTTTATACCAGGTTCTTCATCTGGACTTACTTCAATGAATCATTCTCATTCATAGCTCCCACAGATAAAATACAGAACAAGCTATGAAGTATAATTTGCCATGCCTCCATTTCTCTTGTTTTTCTTGTAAATACACTTTTGGCAGAGCTAGCCATATTATCTACCATTAAGATATTCTGTAAATGCAACTGTGTCCTCTCCAAGGTGGATTTTCAAGATGGTAAATTTTCCAAGATAGGTATCTGCTCAACCTAAGGATTTTGGTCAAAATGCTAAACAGCTCAGAAAAATAATAAATCTTTTTTTCTGTCAGATCCAGAAAAAGATATTTGGGGTGCATGGTGAAGGGGTCAGGAGAAATATGTAGAACAGGCAAAAGCTCTGTCTGTATTAGCAAATTAGACAACCAGAATGATCCTATCTCAGATTTATTTTCCCAGTGCTTGTCTTTTTAATTGCAGTCTTGCCCAATGTACAAATTGATGTTACAAGTTGATGATACATTGTGGAAATGTATTAAGGGTTGTGTGCCCAAACAGGCTCTTAGCCACAGAACCACTGGTGGACATTCCCAGTGATTTGGAGGTTGTTGAATGGAAAACAGCTGAGTTTGGCTAAAACAGAGGAATGGATTATATTGTCCCTCAGCATGTCTATCAGCAGTTTGGTGTGAGGGTAAACAAATTGCTCAATGTAGAAGCCTGCTAATAGTGTAGTTTTTGTTGTCTTGAGGTCTTACAAAGACTTTTTGGATCTGATTTTCATCAGAGTTACAAGTGTTATCATCAGCTGTGCCTGACTGTGTAAGATGCTGGTTAAGGTTAGGTGCAAGCCTTGGCTTTCCCAGCAGTGTAATAGTGTTGAATGTTTCATTTTGACTCAGGAATATAATAAACAATTAGTTACACTTATGAAGTACTATTACCACAAATGACACAGAAAGCCAACTGCGAAAATCATAATTTTGTCAAGAAAAATTAAAGTTTTGAATGCAGTTCAGACAATTAATAAAGGGAAAAAACACATTGAATAATGAGAATAAACGAAATATTGAATAGCTGTTCTTTCAATGACCTTTCTTAAGAATGTAATCAAGCAGAATTAAAAAGAAACGCAGTCATTTTAAACTCAATGCTTGAAACAAAAAAAAAAAGAACCAGCAATCTAACAAAGTTTGACTCAGATACTGACTACATCAAATGTATACATGACAAGAGCTGGATTTGCGTTTCACCGACCTATAACTGATATTTAACTAACTTCACAGTGCTTGACTTTCTTTAACTATTTATTTTGCAAGCCTGATGTTTATAGCCACCTAATAGTTTTCATCAAAGAAAAATGTTTCCAAGTTTATGGAAAGGTTTACACAATTTGCAAATTGAGGTTTCCTGTAGCATAAACTTCATTGGGATAGAAGGAATTCCCCTGAGTGACCCAAAAATTATTTTCTGATTCTTTCCAGGAAATCTGTTGGTTTTGCAGAATATCACAGGACGTCCACAAAGTTGTTGTTTGCCAGCTCATTAACCTTGGTAGAAGCTGTAAAATATGTCTATATTCCCCTACTCCACTGATCAGGATTTTTTTCTTCCATGTGAAATTACCTTGGTGTAACATTTGGGGAAATACAGAGCATTCATCACCTAGGTTCAAATAACTACTTTTGCTGCTATGGGTACCTAGAGTACCTGCACATTCAGTGGAGTAGATCTTTGCTTACAGAAAATAATTCAGATTACCTAAGCCAGATGCTCTAACACACTCTCTGGATGTTGGCTGCCTGAAGAGAGAAACTAATGTGTTTTAAAAAATGCCTTCCTCTCCAGCCTAAATCTTTAAATTCTCTCACAATTCATTTATTTTAATAAGAACTTATTTTAATTAGTCTTTCATAGGCCTGATTTTGTTAATATTATCAAGAAATGAAACACAACTGCAAATGAACTTGTTTTTACAAGTTCCCATTCTCATCCATACCAGTACTCAGAATTAATTTACTCTGGAAGAATATAATTACTCTGCTTTAATATCTGCATAATGAGTGTTGATGTTCATAAAATTCACCCCCAAAAGCTCCTTTTTTATTGCATTGCCAAAAGCACACTCATGCTACTGTGCATGGACTATGAGTCTTCATCTCAAGTAGATGATTGCACATACAGAAAAGGTATTGAGGCAGCACCTGATAAATTTGTAGCAGTATAAAAATTAAGAATTTAGATGAGAAATCTAAAAAATATGAAAAATAAAAGCAAAACCCAAACCTAGAAATAAATACCAGTGTATAGTTTGCACCTTTGCCTCTTTTTTGCTCTGTTGCTCACACTCATCATTTTAGAGACCCTAAGCAGGTGGTCACATGCACTCCCATTCTACATGCACTTTGCAGGGAGCAGGAATGTGTTAGAACTGTATAGCAAATTCTATCATGTTTTGTAACTGCATTATCTCATAGCATGCAGAATTTGGAAGGTAATGTCTTCCAAGAGTTTTGTGTCATCAGAACTATAACCCTGTGTCACGAAGATGTTATGTGAAGCTACTTAGGTCATTTAAGCAAAAATATTAATGTGACAACTAATTTTATGTTCTTTTCTGAATATGTCTGCCCAACTTTATCTTGATTTTCAGATTTTTGGAGCCTTAGGGAAGTACTGTACCTTTTGAATGGTGTTCAGGGAACTGAGAGTGCTCAACATCATTTGCAATAAATCACTTGCTTCCGAAGGACAGCCTCAGGTTGGGACTCTCCACAGCCCTGAGTTCTGGACCTACCATTACCACCCTCTCTAGGATATGCTACCACTCAGACTTACAGTGATCTTCCAGTCTGTCAGGTGAGCTGTAGTATTTTTCTATATGGTTTTAGTTCATGTAAAATGTGAGATAATTAGGTCACATCAGTCTGCAAAAAATAGGATTATTTGAAACTACTTTACATTTTGTTTGCCATTGTTAAAGAGCTTATACCGAAATGCCTGTGGTGCTTGTTACTTTGAGACAGGACAGTTTGATTATGTATTTAAATTCTTACTCTTTTTCTGTCATAAAGAAATACAACAGTTAATCATCTTCTCACAGAAGCAACACAATAATAAATAAACTGTATTTTTGCGGTATGTTGAGCACTGAAAATATTTGAAGAAATCGTCTCCCCTTGGGATAAGTCAGTCCTTTGAGACAGTATTTGAAAACCAAATTTTGCAGATTCTGGGGTGGTTTTTTTTGCTCTGTTTTCCACTTGTTCATCTCTGAAAATATTGGTATCTTCTTTGAGCTGCTGTGAATATTCACTTATTAATGTTTATATTGTTCAGTTACTGTAGCATTTTTGCTACAAACTATGACAATGAAAATCTGTTAGAAAGCAAATAAAATTCTCATTTGGATGAGAAAGAGAAAACAAAAAAGGGTCATGCCATTAGAGTTTAAGACAGATACAAGTATTTAATTCAATCTTATATCCAGAATGAGTTAGTTCTTTTGGAGAAAAGGGTAGTTTGATTAGGAGTCCTGTAGTTAAAGGCTATGTTCTCTTGTATATGCTAAAGAACGTTATATAATTATAATGGAAATTATAAATCTAACATTTCCTAAATCCTTCAAGCTAAATACTGAGTTGTATTTTTCTGTAATAAGCTTATATACATCCATGTGTCATAGAAAAGTACAGTTATTGCATTTAGTTATTAGTAAATAGTTTGTTTCTTCAGCAAAGACCATGCGAAACAAAAGACCATTGTCACTTGCTGTTGGTATCTAGTGCATCCAGAAGGATTCCGCTCACAAAAGCAGCATCAATAGCTGATGTAGAGTCCTGCTGTAGCTGGACTCCTCTTCATTTCCTAGAGCCTGGTGCAAGCACAGTCCTTGCCTTGTTTCTCCTGATCGAACACCAGAAACGGACCTGAAGTTTTCCCTGAGGAACAGCATGAAGTCCTCATATGGGACCTCATTCCCTGTCACCATGTGTTAAAAAAGGGGTGGCACTTTTCTGCCCACACTAAAAACCAGAGTTCTGCTCTTGCAAATGGTGATAAAAATTTAAAATTTAAACTATGCCCTGGTTCAGACATGGATTTTTTTGCTGCAGAGAAAGAGCTAAAAGACTGTGGCCAGAAGCTACTCTAACACAGCTCTAGATTTGAGAAAAAACTCCATGGATTTTTCAAGATTCTTTCTCCTGGCTAGAGCTGGAAATAAACCCTAGGTGACAGTATTCACACTCCAGTTTTATGTAGGCTGTGAGTGAGATAAAGAAATGGGTGAAAATATGCAGCTTTCTTAAGGGTTTACTTAGATTATATTTAAGTGTGTTAACACTCTAAATAGTAATCTAAGGCTCCTAGAAATATTTTTTATTTATTATTATTTTTGCTTTGCATATAGCAAATGGAAGGAGAAGGGGGAAACTGTACTACATCACAGAATACTATTCATCAGAACCAAAATACCTTTACTTAGAGGCCAAACTCTTAACCATTATACCACATTTCCTGAAATGGCTTCAAGGGGGACTCAGAAGTAGGTGATCATGATTGCCTAAAGAAAATGACCTAGTATTCTTGGAAACTTGAGAATAGTCATTCCTTTACCTGCAGTAGTAACTGCAGTTTTTAATGGGTGATAAAATATTTCAGAAGACTGGAAGACTCTACTTATATTTCTAGAAGATTAACAAAAGTCTCTAGAGGAAGAAAGGAGAAGTTAGATTTTTTCTTCATTCTGAGCGATGTAGAACTTTGTAGCAAAATACCAAAGTTCATCTAATTCCATTACTTCCTTGCATTTTCTGATTTTTTTGTTTTCCAGCTGCATATATATGTGTGCATATATATATGCATATACATTATATATACTTTTCAGTTATGTGTCAAAAACCCCAAATGAGATGAAATATACTCTACTGTTTAGAAGATGTTCTTAAATGTCTAGTGTAGACTATGTAGCTGTCTTTCAGGTTACTCAGATCAGGCAAAATTCAAAACATTTAAGGAACAAAGTTTTAAATTTGTGGGTGTTGCTTTCATTAAAAGCTACAGATTGTGTATATCAAGTCGTATCGTTAATTAAATTGTGCAGCGCTAAGAACAAGGCATGAGGCATATGCTACTCCTTGGAATTTCAGACAGGCCTGCTCTGTGCCCAATGCTCTGTTGTCAAGAAGTTGAAAACTGGGTGTAGAGAAGCCCATCCCAATGCACAAGAGCTTTGCTGTGAGCAGACCATTCAAGGCTTCACTTTGGACCTTCCTGTGCACCTCATTCACCTTGTGGAATTGGCCTGTGGAATTTCCCAGAAGTGAATTTTCTGTACTTCTGTAACTTCTGCTAATTCTTTGCTTTGGTGGCTTTGTTTTAAATTGGCTGTTAGTAAAGAAATAGGATTTACTTAGGAGAAGGCACTTCCATTGGTAACTCTGAACATTTTTAAAAGAGAGATTAGACACTTCTCTCTGTATTTGAGCACTTTCATTTTTAGAAGTACTGACAGCCTGCAGCTTTCTCTAGTCTCTAGTTCAGGTTCTCAAAAACCAGGAGTCATGGCTTGCATAAAGGATGTAAATATCCTGACCCAAAACAGCTTTTTTGTACTCCTTGTCTCGCATCTTTATACAGATACTTGAAATTAATATGTTACAGAATTTTGAGACAGCGAGCTAGTACTAATGAAAGCTCAAGAAGTACTGAAAATGTATATACCACACAAATGTTTTATTAGCTGGAATTATAGCTGAAGTGAGCCTCCTTTATTTTTCTAAAAGCGTCCCTAATGGCTGTGATATGTTGCTATAGTCATGCACTAAAATGATGGCCTACAAAACAGGTAAGTAAATGAGGAGGTGAATTGTATAAGTATATGCATTTTTCTCAAGATAGGTAGAATTAAATGTTGGAAAATACTCAGCCTAAGCTAATAGACATAAGACACTACGGACCATACCAGCAATAATGAAAGCTCTCAGTGACTCCCAGTCCTTACTGGTGAGTTCTGTAGGTATATATGTAGTCCCTCTGCAGCATCTAAATTTGGGTGTCTAATCTCTCCTTATAACACTGATACAGTTAGCTAGGGCTGAATCTAGCCTTTAGGCTGTGTCCTGAACTCTCTTTTCTCTCAAAGTCAAATATTATTTTTAGCTTTTATTGACCTGACTATCTGACTCCACTCAGCATTTGTTTCTGGTCAAATGCACTGCTCCCCATCTAGGTCTGAACTGACTTACCAAAGAAGTTGTGTTCTTCAGGCATGAAATGGGTTTTTATTACTGAGGTCCACAGTGCAGATCATTGGAAGTTATGTAATAATATGAAAGGACATATAATTGAAAGGCTGTCAGAAGATAAAAGGGTATCAACTTCCCAGAGCATTCACATTGCAACTCCTGAAGCTGGCTGACATTGAAAGAGTGATTCACTGTTCAGTGCTGGCCCCTCTGGTAGCAGCTCTGCTCCTCCTCACTGCTGCCTGTTGAAATATCACAGTCTGCAGCATGGAATTTAATACAGGAGTTTTCCATTAAAGACATTAGCTGCTGCATTTCTCAGTTACTTCTGGCTCAACTCACCTGCTGGGGACACAGTACCTTGTCCTTGAATAGGCAGGACTGCCTTCATTCTACTCTTCCCACTGGAGCAGCGAGAAGTAGAGTGTGAGTATGTACTGAGCAATGCACAACAAGTGAGTAACTGCAATACAGGCATACATTATTCTTGGATTTGTTTTAAATGTCAAGCAATAATACGTAGGAAGTAAAAGTAAGTCTTTAACTATCCTGACATTCTCCTAAATGTAAAAAACCATAAGAGGTGCCTGTATTTACTACAAATAATAAAACTGGAGCGTTACGCTAATCAAATTCAAATCAGTTCAACTGCATAATTTTCAGTGAATAGGTGCTTATAAAACACAGAATGAACTCCAGAAGGGAAGGTTCATTGCTTCCTAATCAAAAGCAGTCAGCTTTAAACACCAGCCAGTCAGGTGATAGGTTTGTCATTTCTCAGCTCTGCTCTTGGAGGGAATTTGCCAAGAAGGCTTGACAGCCTTTAAACTTCACAGAGCATTTTTTGCCTGTTTTTGAACATCATGTTGAGCTACAGAAAACTCCTGGGAGACTGGGAGGAGAGGCAGAATAACAGCAGTTCTATTAAAATATATTTGCTGCAATGAATGTCAAGCAGATTTTATGGTGCAAAAAAACAATTCCTGAAAAGAAATTTTGACGCCCCCCTCAGGTCTGATTCTTTCTTGTCTAATGGTGTCCAGCTACTTTGGGGACTGAGGAGTGTCAGTGATTAATTGTCTGGGTGTCAAAGAAATAAAGGCTCATAATGCATCATTAAAAGCTAGAAATCAGGGTGTCTGAACTATCATGGGAAGCTTAAAATTAATATATTACCTCTATGTACAATTAACAGTCCAAGTCAGAAATCATTTGCTTTTATAATTTAGAACAATGGCAGCTCTCCAGTGAAAACGTATTTACAGTAGTTTTACAATGCTTTCTAGAGGCTTAGTACAAAAGGGAGAGACAAAAATTAATATGCAGCAAGGCAGTTAAAGAGAAACCTGTCTTTGAACTGTTCTTTCATTTTAATCAGCATGAGCTCTGCTAAGTAGGGAAAAGAATTATGAGTAGGAGGCTAGCATCTAGGTTACTGAGGGCAAATCACTCTCAGGGGAATAAGTTTGCAATCTGAGCAACAGTCTCAGCTGTGCATGACTTGGGATGAACAAGTCTTCTCTGTTTTAACCCAGCATCAACATCAATTGCAAGGTGGCCAACCTCAACCAAATTCCCCAACATGAAGGTCTGTTCTCCCCTCCAATGGCAATTGTAACACTGTGCTAGAAGAATTTTTCACTGTCTTTTATTTCTATTTTCCAATGTCTTTCTAATGTCATTCTAGTGTTTTCTATTTCACATCCTCAGCTTTGGGACCTCATACATGTTTTAGTAATTTTTGGTATTGGTTTGAGTTCCATTAAGCTTCTTAAATTCTTAAATAGCTTCTTGGAGGGATTTTGTTGGATTTTTTTTCCTGTAGCTTAGGTTATAAAAGTAGCACCATAAACATTAATTGAAGAGCCATTAAGCAGTAGGGCTGTTTGTTTTGGGTTGATAGAGGACATAAAACTTCATACCCTGTGGTGGAAAACAATTAGATCTGATGATGAACATGCTATTAAATATACCATTACCAGACTTCTATCAGTTTAACTTTAGAAAATAACAACCAGCTGTAGTCAAAGCATACACAAAGGATAGAAAGTCATATTTTAATTGTCATGTCATAGCCTGTTATAAATATTGTCATTTTTAATGTTTTATGCTAATGACAGTGACTAATAGTAGTCATTACCTCTGTTCATTTTCATAAAAATTTCCTCTAGAGAATATGATCACAGCTAGAGTGCTGTTTAAAATTAATTTTTTTTTTTTCTAAAATAGGTAACATAAAAATATTTAAATACCGACAGGTTTGTTGACTATTTAATTTTGTAATAGCATGTGTTCGACAACTCAAGCTTTTGTTGATTGTGCCATAAGTTGAACAGATATCCCTTTCAGAAACATTTTTGGCATGCGAGCATATGTCATGTCTCTGGTCTCTGAACAGTGGAAGAAAAGGTGAATCTTACAGAAGCCATAAAAAAAGTCTGATGCTACCCCTGTAGAGGATTAATATTAAGAACATTGAATTTTCTCATCCATTTCTTATTTCAGTTATGAATTCTGCTTACTTGACAGGTACAGAGTACTTCATTATGTGCACGAACAGAAATGCTTAAATGGATGAAGCAGCTATTTACGTCTGATAGGAGCTAAGTGGGACATTAAATTAATGCCAAACAAGTGAGTGCTCATTTTAGTTTTGTTATAAATGGCTGCAGCACAGCAGTAATGTGTTGACTCTTATGTGCTGACAAGTTCTATATTTCTTACAAACTTCCCTTAGAGCTCGTGGTAGAAAGACAAATTCACACTCTGCATGATGAAATTAGCAGCAGATGCATTAATAATTGAATAAGGATCTCTGGAGACACACCACAGCTCAGAAAGAGAGTTGTTGACTGGCTGGTTTAAGCTTCTGTTCTTATATATATGCACTTACATAAGCCATGAGTTAAGAGCTGCTGCCTGTATGTAGCCTTTGATATCAAATCCACTTCCTGCTCTTAGAAGACTTTGCATAGTTACATTTGACAGGTCAATGAGCAGATTGACAACCATTAATCTGGGCAGAGCGTGGCTTTGCTCGTTCCCCCTTCTCTCTGAGTGTTCTTAAACTTCAAGGCAAACTGAATGCAGTTTCTTTAGAAATCCTCTCCAGACAATGAGTGGGATATGAGTTACTGGAAGACTTTCACTGTATGCCAGACCGTCATTTCTCTAGGATTGAAAGTTTCCTGAAGTGCAAATCTCATCTTCTCTCACAGAAGGATTAGGATACTGCCATCTTCCTTTCCAGCAAACATGATGTTTTTTGTTCCACATGCCCAGGTTTGAGAGGGAAGGAATTTCACAGAATCACAGAGACCACAGTGAATCACCTGATCCCACTTCCCTTCTCATGAAAGTCCATCCTAGAGCACATTGCACAGGCTTGTGTCCAGACAATTCTTTAATATCTCTGGTAAGGGAGGCTCCACAACCTCTCTGGACAATCTATTCCAGTGCTGAGTCACTGCAAAGTGTTTAAAGATTTAAAAGATTAAAGAAGTTCTTCCTCATACTCAGGTGGAATTTCTTGTGGGTCAGTTTCTGCCCATTGTGTCTTGTCCTATTGCTCGGTGCCGCTGAGCACAGCCTGGAAACCTCTTCTTGACACCCATCCTTTAGATACTCATACACATTGATGAGTTCCCCTCTCAGTCACCTCTTCTCGAGGCTCAAATGGCCCAGCTCCCTCAGCCTATCCTTGTAAGAGAGATGCTCCAATCCCTTAATCATCTTTGTTCCCCTCCACTGGACCCACTCCAGCAGCTCCGTGTCTCTACTGTATGAAGAGCCCAGAACTGGACACAGCACTCCAGATGTGCCTCACCAGGGCTGAGCAGAGGGACAGGATCCCCTCCCTCAGCCTGCTGGCAATGCTTTTCCTGACATACCCCAAGACACCATCGGCCTTATGGGCCACAAAGGTACACTGCCAGCTCAATTTGTGTCTTTTGGACAATAACAAAGAAAGCAAGAGGATTGCCAGAAAAATAAGTCTGCTTTTTAAAGATACCACCAAGTCTTTGATGTAATTTTTAATAGTTACTTTGCAATCACACCAAATAATATTATGCTCAGAGGATATAGACAAAATAGTGTGATATTTCATCCACAGCAATACTACTGGAGCAAATACTTCTGGGTTTAAAATCAGAACTTTATTGCACTATTGCCAAGAGAGTGATAGTAATTTGAATAGTCTAAAAATTTGTTCCAGTTTGAAGAAAGCCAAGATTTAGCACAGTGTTAGTAGATTAACTCCACAGAGCTCTCCTAACTGTGCATGCAAACTTCAGTCGCAAGTTTTGAGCACAGGTTGACTTCTGTGTTTTGCTTTCCTCCAGATTATTTTATAAATCTCAGGATCTGTAAGAAAAACTTACCTTCAAAATACCTATCAGTGTATTTTCTGGAGTTTTATCAGCTAAAGAAATGCTAATTCTAATCCTAGCTTTTAAGTATATTAAATTATAATATATAAAAATATATATTTTAATAATAAACGTATTGCAATATTTTGCATAAGCTACAATATTATTTAATAAAGTCTTTAAAGCAATACTCAATATTCAACTGCCTTTAAAACAACACTTCAATTCCTCTTATTTAGATATGTAGTTCTTTTTATTCAATAATAGTGCATGTGTTATTTGTTCAGTAAGTGTTTGGTATGAATCTCATCATAATGGAAATATGGGATTTGAGATCTTTTTAGCATGAGAAACACTTAAACAGTTTCTGTTGTCACTTGAAATAAGAGTTAAGTCCCAGAGATTTATATTTGTATAACGAATTATTGTCTCATCTAAACCACAGAATCAGTAGGTTGGAAGAGACTTTCAAGATCATCAAGTCCAACCCATGCCCCAACACCTCAACTAAACCATGGCACCGAGTGCCACATCTGGATACACTGAAACACTCCACAAGTGGCTCAGCTGAGGAAAGAACAGTACATATTTTGCTTTGTGATATTGAACCACAGTGCAGATATTAAGAGATCAGAGACAATCAGGTGAAGGAGTAAGCATGCCAAAATAATACCCTGGTTTCAGCATCACGTCTACTTTTGGAGTGTTTAAAACAAAGATGTGAAAATTTTATTTACATAAACATTTTTAGTCAATGGAGCTACCATTTCAGAATTAGTGTTTTTCATTTGATTCACACATGTATAATACATTCCACTGCTGTTTTAAAAAAAGTAACCTTACCATCATCTGAGTTTTTAAGGAAAAGACTAAGGACTCAAACAAGGTCATGAAATGCTAGCTGAGAGGAATATACATGAGTTGCATAGACCAAAGAGGAATAAAGAGACTGCATTGATGGGGGCAGAGGGAGAGAGATCACGAATCATTAACTATGGCTTTATGCTTCACGTCTCTCTACAGTGGGTTTAACCCTATTAACTGATTTCCATTCATTCTGTCATTTCCATGGAATAAGATCCTAAGTCTTCTCCAGGTGAGAAATGAATACTATGCAATCCAATAACTTTTGTACCTATTGTTAGCATACATAAGGCACATCAGTGGCAACAATGTTTATTCTTAACATGTGAAGTAATCACCAAATTTCACAACTCTGGCAGTGTTCACTCCTGTAAAAGTGATGAGATATTTCTAAAGCCTTCTAGTGAGTGAATAAACCAATGGGTTTTATCCATGTTTTGCAGGTCACTGGACGTTCAAAACAGCAAAGCAAATTAAAAGAACCACTTTCCTTTTTCTATCACAGTAATTTTGCACTTGAGTATATGAGCATTTGCTAATATAAAAGCTATTGGGGAAGATATGAAGGGAACTTCTAACACTGCCTTATAAGGTAGAAAATAAATGTTGCATTTCAAATCCAGCTCTCCTTGAAATTTATTTCATTTTAAAAGGCATCTTCAGCACCAGATTTTTGTCTCTGGAGACTTAAAATCAAACAAATCCACTTAAATTGAAAACAGAGTTTTCTAATTATCATGCTGTAACCTCAGCCTGAAGATCAAGTAGCTACATTTTGATTTATGTCTCATCACTACTATTGATATTTCTTCAGGCCATAAAATTTTTATCCCTTGCCCTTCTACTCTTCATGGTCTTCCTCAGTTGTTCCCTTCTGTTATTGTTGCTGTTGTTATTATTATCATTATTATTACTATGTTTCCTTGAATATTTTTCCAGATATTGTTTAGGTGCCTCCTTTTTTGGGAATAAGTTAGCAAGTCTGTTAGTACTCCGTGCACCTATTTTTACTTCTCTACAAATTTCCCAAAAGAATAAATATTTCCTTAGACTCAAGGAGAAGCAAATGGATCCTCTTAGTCACTAGGTAAATGCACGAAGAAAGTTAGGCTAGGATCTCAAGATGGAAGTTGGAAACAAAGCAAGATGGAATACTTTTGTTCTCTGAAAAATAAAAAGCTGTGTGTCTTGGAGGCTGCCTAGCAGGGATAACTGAAATTTAGTCAAGGAACAAGGATATTGTGCTTACCCTGCAGTGCTTGCATAGAAATTACCCATAAAGATCCAAAGAGTACAGGGTGCTTCAAAATAGGTGAGAACGCAGATTTAAAGGCATGACTTGGAGCAGATCCTGAAAACTCCTGTGCCCAGACATGAGCAGAAAGCTGGATGTTAGCACAAGAAGTTTCCTTGCCAGGGCAACAGATTTTACACTCTCTATAGCTTTAACAGCAAACTTACATGAAGTTGAAGCCTTAAAGTTGAACCCAGATTTTGGCTTATTTGTTTCCTTTTAAGCAGTAGTTAAGAAAAGACTGACAATGCCTGTATCATTTTCCATAGTATTGAAACAGGCAACAAATTATCAATGTTAATATAAATAAGAAATAACACAGGTTGGAATCATACTCTTCTATGGGTTAAAAACTAAAATGATCAGCATGAAGCACCCTCATCTCTCAGTAAATGGAGCACAGATAAAGGCTGCATGTGTTGGCTCCAGGCTCCGTAATCATCTTCCACTTGAGCATGGGGGGTTGGTGAAATAAGCAGTTACACTGATAAACAGAGGACCTCTCTCAGATTGGGCTATGGACCTAGAAAGAGGTGGCCTGGTGGATAACCAGTGCCAAATCTAAGCTGAGGTTACAAACATAGTGATAAGTTACCCAAGAGGAAGAACTGCCAACAGAGGAAGTTCATCCCCCAGTCTCAGAAATCCAATGTCTAATTTTTGTCTCAAAGGGGAAGAATTTACAACTTGTTTGGGGTTTTTTTTAATAAGATATCACGCTCTAGAATTTTTCTCTGTGTTAAATATACAGAGCAGAATTCAACATTAGGATTCCCCTAGAAGACTAAAGTGCTGTTTGCCATGTTCACTCTTACTGAGGGATTATGGAGTCATGTTTTCACCAGAATTATGGATGTTCACATTCCATGTAAACACATATTTATGAAATGTTTTGAAGCATTTCAGTTCAGTGCTTGCTAGGAATTGGGCATAGTGATTTGTTCAAGCTCATTTGGCATTTTTTTTCAAAAAGTTGGTTTCTCTGAGTTTTTCTGCTCTTGCTTGTTTCTAAATTCAATTAATAACAAAATTTTCATCTATGGGGACCACTGGCAATTTAGCCACTAGAATTTTCAAGTATTTTAGGTGCAGATTTAAGCAGACTATTGGGCTATAAATCAATCTAATATTGTAATTGCCCTTCACATTCAGCTGTTTATTGTTTCTTGGATATCAGTTACACATCAAGCAGATGTTTATTTTAGATGGACACAATGGCTTCTGGATATTTTCTATTAATCCAATGAATTTAAAAGCAAGGAATAAAAAATTAGTATCCAGAGTTCTGAAGTACATCTTTCTGCATTTTGTCAAAATGCATGTTGCATATTGGTGTATTTCTCGGTGGCCCATTTTAACATAATCTCTGAGATGTCTTGTCTTTTCAGTTCTATCCTACTTACATATTTATGGACTTCCTATTTTGACATCTCACTTTGAGTCATAATCTTATATTCTAATTAAAGTATATTCAGCATCAATCTTTATATGAATACCAGGTGGTGGAATATTAGCACTTTATTATGGCTTTCCAATTATTCCCATTGCTTTTTATCATAATCTCATCCAGACTTTTTAACTTCTTCCAACTGAGCCTGGTCCAAAGAGATACTTAAGATATGAGAATATTGACACAGAGTGCAAGATTTTTTGTAATGACTGGTTGTTTTATTGGTAGGTGAATGGAAAATATTTTGAATATTTGGGTATTCACTCTGAGTTTGTCTGTGAAATCAGGAAGAATTATCTCTGCAGAGAACCTCACAAGAGGGTGCAAGGACTGTGAGCCTTTTGCAGGCTCTTCTAATGCATTATATAATGACAACACTGAAAAAATTATCCTGAATTAAATACAAAAATGTAATCTATGTTCTCTGTGTTTTCTGTGTATCTGCTGTTCTTGTGCTCCAGATCTCTTTCTCAGAATTCCTACTTGCCCTATGTCCCAGAAATATTTTCTGTAATATTGTATTATGTTTAGCATTACCATAAATATACTTCTGAGTAAAACCCACTTATTTTGTAAATATTTATGAATTGTTGAAAATCATTCAGCTCATCCCAGTATCTGTGGATTCAGCTGGAAGAATGAGGTAAGCATAACATTACAGTGGTAAATAATTCACTTAAGGAATACAATGTATATGCTTCAGAGGTACAGGTACCTCAGTAGAATCCTGCATGTTTCTGTCCTTTCAACAAAAGGGGCAGGTATTTCCATCACATGGAAATTGGTTGGCACAACTAGTTCTCTGTGAGAATTAGAAAAAGGGACAGCATAACTGATTTTGTCAAGGGCAAAAGGAGAGTGAAGGGCAGTACAACAAACATATATTTTTATATATATATATATATATGCATATAATTTAAAATATTTGAATGATCCTTATCCTAGCAAAGGACGGTTAAGAGTGATAAATGTAATAACTGTGAAAAATAAACATGAGAACTCATTTAAGCTTTTTACTAAAACCGCAAAAGTTTGACTTACCATAAGCTATAAAATATGTCATTAAATCATTAGCCTTTACAAATTGCCTGTTGTGGTTTCTGAGATACTTCTTTCTCTCCCAGTACTCTGGTTACTTGTGTCCAACTCCAGGAAGTGATACCTGTAAGCAAGTTCCAATGTCAGACAGACAAAGAAAGTAAAATATAAAGTCATATTGTACGGCAGTGAGAAATCCTGTTCACCTCAGCAGGTCTCATCATAGGTGCATAGGTGGTAAGATCTGTCTCTAAAATGCTGCTGTGCTAAATATGAGGTACAGCAGACATTTAATAAATGGGTTACATCAAGTCTGTTCAAAGATGTTCTGTAGAGTATAGTCTATGTAGCAATAAAAATCTCCACAATTTTTATTAATTCCATTAAAGTGGCACGCTACCTCCAAATATTTATAGAGATCAAGCAGACTCACTTCAGGACAAGTCCTTCATACATACCAGAGGGACCTTTCCTGAAATGTAAACAGTTGGCATCTGCTGAACTGTAATCCCTAAATCAGAAACACAAATGTTTGGATTAACAAAAAATGGAAAGCCTCATTCTTTATTGTTGACCTCCCAGTACATATTTTTTCACTTTCAGTGTTGTGTGCATGACCAGCATTCTTTATTCAGGACTGGAAATGCAGTGAATTTCTAGCATAGTCACCACAAAGGACAGTAGTGATAACATTCAAGCAAGCACAAACCCTCAGTGATGCTCACTGACTTCAGAAGATTTGAAATCAAGCCATCAGTTCAATGGTGCACACGTGATTCAGTATGAAGCAACTGAGATTTGACACCCTTAAGAATCAGATAAATAAAAGGATATTTATTTTACCCCTTTTAAAGAGTATATTCATCTGAGAAGGGAGGAACTTGAGGAAATATAAAATACAAGCTTGTGAGTACCATCATTGAAATCCATTTGGTTTTATACACAGAGAGTTTTAGCATCCCACTGCACCAGGGACTGTATTCAATAACTCTTAAATGAAAACATTTAACAGACCTGGAATTGCTGTCTGTTATATGTACATGCATATATGTGTAATATATATGTAATACAGAATGAATATCCCATTGTACAAACTAAAGCTATAATAATGAGCAAACTGCTTTAATTGGAATGCTGAGGGAATGAAATTTGAATTTTTTTTCCAAAGTAATTTATTTTTTAATATGTTTGAAATGGTGGTGTCTTTTCCTTGAAGAGATTAAATACACAGCGATTGAAAAGCAGTGAAAAGTTGATGAATGAGAATGAAGTTCTAGGTGTTGGTGCTGAGAGCCAGGGGCAAAGCAGTGATCTTGGAATGTCTGCCTTTTCTGGTTTGTGCTGTGGCTTTAGGCTTTATGGATCCCAGTAGGACGAGCCATGATCAAGCTGAGGTTTCATGGATTTCAGTCTTTTCCCAAGCCACACTCCAGCCACTGCTTCCAGCCTTATAGCAGTCTCCAAAAGTTGGTGGAGCTTTTGCAGGTCCATAGCACGAGGTGAAAGATCTCAGTGCTCCAGGCCAGCCAACCTGGTGAGGGGCTTCTCTGCAGCTCTGCTGCTCAGGGGAGTGGATTGGTATCTGCTCGTTGGAGCTGGCAGTGCCATCTCTGAACCAGCTCCTCTTTGGAGCTTGAGGCACTCACCAGCTGTTGCCTTTGGCAAGGTGACAGGGAAGCAGTCACATTTCCTCTGAATTCTGCCTCGCTTTACACACACTTGTGACAGGTACTTAGTGTACACTCATTTTTTTCCTTTTGGATTTCACAAATCTATTTGGGAAGTAAATTTTAAGTAAGTTTAAAAGAAGACTGGAATTGTCTACATTAAAAAAGTTTGATGCCTTGAAACTGCTACAAAACAATAAAAAATAAAATCCATAAAATACCCCTAAGTACAATTTTAATTGTTTCAATAAGTTCTTTCAAGTTGCATTTCCATGTTATTAATTTCTGGACAGTAGACTTCATTATACTGTGTAAGAAAAGGGGAAGGCTTTCAAATAAGGTTGCATATTGAATTTTAGGTCTGTGCCTTAGAATTTTCATATGACTTCAAAATTATCAAAATAATTACTTCTTGTCTATGCAAACATGAAGGGTTTGTCTTCATTCCCACTCTGACATAACAAATCCAAAATTCTTGGCAGTATAAAAATGTGCCCTGAAACCTATTGTCAATATTCACCTGTTTCCCTTTTCATAAGAGAATGTGATTTTACCAGACATCTATCCAGCTACCAGAAAAGCTGATTCCTATGGGATACATACATGGTTAATGTCTTAAGAGACTCAGCTACTTAATTTTTGAGAAAACTGTACAACATTTCAAAAAAACCCAAGACTTTAAAAAGCAGAAAAGAAACCAGAAGGGGGAAAAAAAGGAAAAATAAGAAAAACCTTAATGTTACAATCCATTGATAAAATCAAATTAGTTACCATGGATTTAGCTTAGCTTAGGTAAAATATTTGGGGACACAAAAAATATTTCATAAACACAATGAGATCTTCTGTCACATAAAATCCTTATCCTTTCTTCAAGGGCCTGTCAAGAAAACTAGGTTTACCACCTAAATTTTATTTTTCAAAGTAAAAGATAGAATGTTCTGAAAATCAAGCTGTCACTAGTTAATGCTGTCAAAATAACATGTCAATTTTACACATTTGTTCAATTGGACTTCATTTTTTCTTCCTCCTCATTTTAAATGATGTTTGTTCATTTCTTATTCTCTGGGCCCTTTCTTCAGAGTCCCAAGGAAACAAAACATAAAATCAATGATGCCAAAGTTTATGTAGGCTTAATATTGGGATGAAGAATGAAGGTGCCTGATCCTGCTGTCAATAAAATGTATTTGTGTAGTTCTCCATGTAGCACTTTGAATAGGGTGAGTGACAGCAATCTCAGTCTGAGAAGAGGAAGAGCCTTATGGCCCTACTGTATGCGTGGCTGTTTTTAGAATAGCCCAAAACAAACCATTCATGATCCTTAAAGAGATTCAGGTTACCACATGGAGACAGGCAAAGTAGCCATGCACAGTGCTGAGGAGTTCCAGGCTTTTTTCCATGTACTGCCCTGCTAGGAAAGCATGCCAAGGATTGCAGTTGATCAAGAAAGAGGAGAAATGTTTCCTCCAAGGAATCTTTGGATTCAGCAGGAAGTTCTCATGGTTCCTGTAGTCATTTGAGGTTAGATTATGGTAATTAGTTCATCCGTCTAGTCTTTAGTGCCTCCAATAAGAATGTCCTTCAAGGCAACCACAGGCAGAAGGGGACATCTGATGTGCCACACCATTAGTTCAAATATGTAGACATTAGAAAAGGTTGTAAATTGACGTTCCAGTCACTTTGTGTGTGTGTGCATTGCATGGATAACCACATGTGTATCCATAGGGATGCTAGATCCCTGAAAGGATCTTGAATTACTTGTTTTGGCTTTTTTACTTCCTTTTGATACTGTGCTGTCTGTATGAATTGAAAGTGAGAAAGGAGTTAATACCATATCTGTTCATCGTAAACCCTTCCTGACTGATGACTTGCCTTCTCCTGGCATCCAGCATTGTAGCAGAAAGCAACTGGTATAACCTGCAGCTACAGCTACTTCCAAAGTTCAGCTTCTTTTCCCTAATACTGATGTTCAGGCTCAGAAAAAAAATGTTTCTGAGGAAAAGTTATGCATCCAACTTCAGGCTGTTGCTTCTCTGGGTGATACTTACCTGTTTTTCCTACAGAGAATCATGTGAATTGTTACCTATCCTTTCATCCCCATGTTCATCTCTTAATATTTGTCAGTATGAGACACACCATTTAAAAGAAATTTTCTGCCCAGACTGGGCAATTTCCTTGTTACAACAATTTTTTTTTCCTTATTTTGGCTCATGTTTTCATAAGTGTTAACAGATTCTTACCCAGTGCTTTTTTAAATGCTTACTGATCCACACAGACAGAAAAGGTAAACAACAGCTAAGCAATTGGTCTGACAGATAGTGCAGTCCCTCAGGAGGCATTAATAACATCCACACCAACACTGAGTTATTCTCTCTCAGGAGCACCATTAGCAGATATTTCATCACCACTGTGCCTGTAATTCTGCAGCACCAGTCCCAAGGCTGGCCAGTTCTCCTCAGCAAAGGTCAAACTGTAGGCAAAACCACTTCACTGTTAAAAAAAAAGTAGAAACCAGCCTAAAGTGTTAAACTTCCATTAGTATGGACACTTACAGAAAAAATAATTAAACTGTGAACACAAGGGAGTAGTGCATTGACTTATTTTTAATTGTATACAAAGGGACAGCTTGCATCTAATTTTTTGTTTAGATTAATAATTCATTTTGGTTTAAGTATGTTTTGGTCCTGAGTTATTAAAAAAAATAGTGGTTTTGAGAAGAACACGTTGTCATTATAAATGTAAGTTGGGTATGAACTATGAATGGGATGCTATTTGATGACAAATGTAATCTTGGTGAGAGTAAATAGGTGAATAGTATTCAGAAATTGGCAGGTTTTTCACATTTGTCAAATTTACTGGAAAACCATGCACCTTTATGGTTTGTTGAAAAAGGTATGGTAAGTCAAAAATAGATACATAAAATAATTCTGAAAATAAATTTAAAAAAACAAGAAAATGTACCAGTAGTGAAATACTAAATAAATTCTTAGCTATTAAATCAGTTGAGAAAAGACTGAGAAGTAACTTGACTACAGCCTTCAGGTACCTACAGGCAAAAAGTATTCCTGACAGTAAAGAACCCTCTCATTTAGGAGGAAGGAATGTGTAATTAACTGGAGCCAAGAATTCCAGTCTGTTCCCCCATCACCAAATTAACAGTGAGAGCTTTCAACCATTAGAGCCATCTGGGTCTCCTAGAAAGATATGCTACATCTCATTCAGAAACTACAGAGGATGATAGATAACATTTTGGGACCACACAGGAGGTTAGACTAGACCATAGTGCATCGTTTCTTCTGCCCTTAATATCTATTTCTGAATCTAAATAGAAAGGGAATAAGGTTAACAGAATCTGGCCCTCAGTCATATATATTTTATCATTTAATTGCATTTCCATTTGAGGATTATAATTCAGTTCTATTATTACTTCATCTCTGAAATTTTTCTACAGGATACCAGAAATAGAGTATTTTTTATTCTCATAATTAAACTTTCAACCAAATAAAAGTTCTTCAGCTTGTGACTCTGAATTAGCATGTGAAAAATTTAAACAAATATAATTTTAGCTTCTTTGTTATGAATGAACAGAGCAATCATATAGCACAACAAAGTGTTAATATCTGTTACAGCCCTTGAGCTATACAAATGTGTGGTTTTGTTATGAACATGCTTGATATGCTATGCCTTGACTAGATCTTATTTCATTCTGTTTCTACAGGTTAGTGAGACTTTAATCAAGAAAAAAAAATCTAATGAACAGTAATTTGAAACACAGCATTTGGAAAGGTCAGAATGGTACATTACATCCTTATTATCCAAAAGAACAGATGAGTTTAATATCCTGGCAGCATTTTCCTGTGAAGAAGATATTAAACAAGAAATGAAAATGGCACAAGGTTCTTGCTTCCTTTTCTATGACAAAGATTGTAACAAGATGATGGAACTACAAAGAATAAATCCCTTTCTGCTTTAATGGTCCAACTGTGAATTCTAGATTTCAAAAACCTAAGCCAAGCTAAGAGCCAGCATGCATGCTATTTGTTTCAATTCCTTTACAACACACTTTCCTGCTTATATGGCCCTGCTTGTATTTTCCATTAATATTTTCTAGTCTTAAACATGGGAAGATATGTTAACAGAAGGTGCACAGTGCACCAAGTTTTGCTGCATAATATGTTGAACAAATAATGTACTTCATCGGCACTGATGAAAATACATCTTTTCCAGCTTCTCTTTGAATAACCTAAGAACCTAAGAGAGTATGTATTCCAACACACAACACATTGCATGTGTCCTGCTTTGGACAGTCTCTGAAGGAATGGAACTCTTTGAAGGCAAAGGAATTTGCAGTGTATCCAATAGGTTGTTTTAATATAAGAACTGTCAGAATTTCCTACCTTAAATCATTAGCTGCATGAAGATTCTTCCTTTTCCTTATAGGTCTAAGGGGGAAAAAACTTCTGGAACTGGATGTTGTAATTTATGACTAAAATACACCATGAGGGTTCTCATGTTAAATGTTATGATGGGAACTGAAAAAGTGCTGTGCTTAAAAATGAAAAAAATAGTATATAGCATGCCCCTGTATTAGTTACTTATATGCAGTCCTCATGAGACTGGATAAATGTGGTATTACCCACAAATGTAACAAGTTAGATTTCAAATATATTAATAATTATTAAAGAAAACATTTTATATCATTCCAAAGATAAAAAGTCTTGAAGTATTACTGGCTGAAGTACACCCACATGGGTTTGCACAAGCTCACAATTAGAAATCATGTTGAACCTCTTTTTCCCACACCATCTTGAAGAAAAACTTCTCTGTGGTACATTACATGCAGCATCTTGCTGAGAAAAACCATTCTGCTTTGGTCAAGAGAGACAAAACAACTGTATCCAAAATATGTTTTCAGTACCTCGAGTGAATGTATAAGTATGTATATTTATACTTGTTGGAGTTTTTTTCTATTTTCTTTTTTTTAAGTGATTTTATTTCCACTGGAGATTGTAAATGTATTTTTCTTCCTTTGTTTTGCAGCTATAAAGTAGGATAGCTTTTCAATGCATTGGCAATGTGCAATCTATTTTGAAACTTCAAAGGATTTGCAAAACTACAGACAAAAATCCCTAATGGGTGTTCATTTCATAAGTGCCTACAGAAATTAATGTTTTCTATGTGCCTAGAAAAAATCCACTAGATACAAGTTTCTATCAAGTTCCTTGTTATTAAGCTAATAGTCCTTGAAACTGAAATTACTACAAATAGCTCTTTTCTTCTTCCTAACCAAACATCAGCCATCCAATGTGCCATGTACAGAAAATAATAAAACTATTTTTTCAGTTCCTAATTATTATTCACAATATAAATCTGTGAAATTTTATATTTTATAATTACTAAGAACTCTGAGCTGATATACTTTTGCTATAAAAAATGAAATATATGCAGTTGTATCCATCTTTTAAAAGATCATGTTTAGGGCATGACTGAATAGAAAATCCAGGGTTTTGAGGGGAGACTCAATGTGTAGTCACACAAATATCTCCAGGATTTCTTAGAGAGTCAGTCCAATGTATCAGATGGATTTTGTTATACAGTTTTTAGTTCTCAGGATTTTTCAAAATATTGTTGCTGTGTCACACAGTATTTAACATGGGGAACACCTTGAATACATTGTGCAGCCTTATTTAGTTATTCAGTAAAATGGATTTTTTTCACTACATGATCACAGTCATTCTTTTTTGAAAAATTACCAAAATAACCAAGTGCATCTTATGAACCAATACAAAAGCATGAACTTGAAGAGACACATCCTTTTATCAATTATTTCCAATAAATAATAAGGGGTTTGGGCATTTCCATTAAGTCTTTCTTCAGTAGGGATGGTGAGTATGAGTTTTGCATAAAATGTTGTGCCCGTGAACCCATGAGAACATCTCCAAGTGCAAGGGTCATATAATCCTCTGTGAGGCATATTCAGTAAATTAACAGCAGAACAAAATTAACAAACAAAAAAGATGAGGCTGATGGAAAGGTGTCATATGGGAAACAAGATTATAAAACAGACACATCAAAGCTACATAACAGTCTATGTGCAGCACACACAATCCCACAAATAGGGTTTTGTGCCAGGAGTTGCTGGTTCACTGTAATCCCAGTAACAAGGACGCTCAGACTCTGTGAAATATGCTTTAAAATACCATTTATTGCAACTAAAATTTAAAAGAAAAAAAGGTTAGCACAGATGATCTTACATCCATTCAGGTGCTGGGAAGCCCAAGTTATGCACCACTGAACGAGCCTCTGTGCAGGCTCAGTATCTTGTGCAGATCCTGTCCATGTAAAGGTTACCCAATATTTCAGTCTTTTGTGTTCCTGTGAGGTTTTTCTAAAACAAAATAACTCCATTAATCATTTTCACTGTCAAAGAAAAAAGGATACACACATGGGAATTAGTTGCTGCTGCTTAGATAAAGGCAAGGAGTTGGTGTGACCCAGTGGCAGCTGCCCACAGGCTGCTTCATTACAATCAGCCAGCCAAGCTTGTCCTGAGGCAGAGGATGTGCAGAGCACAGCACAGACCTGCAGGTCATGCTGTGTGCACAGCACGTTTTGTGTGCACAGCACATCAGTGCAGGCCGTGCCTGTTTGGGACAACGGCTGTGTGAGACACTCACTCCCCTAGGAGCAAAGGTCTCCTGGTCAGGATCTCAGCACCTGTGTGCATGCATACCTGGTTTGCATCTGCATATAAAACTCTGCTTGTGTTCTCCAAAGTGAGCTGGTGCACAGTATTAAAGTCTGCATACATTAAAAGCTGTACATGTCCACTGCAAATACGCCTCTGTACAGGTCTCTGTTTATCAAGCTGACATTGTGCCAAAGTCCAATGGGTTTACAATTACAGAATTTATTGCCACTAAAGGGCTGTGTAAATACATTTTTGCAAGTGTGATTTTTGTGCCTGCAGCTCAAATTCTTGTTATACTTGCATTTGAATTTGTTTTGTTTTGTCACACAATGTTGCTTGGTATTATATGAATAATAATCCATGAGCTAGAAAACAGACTAAAGTCAAAGGAACAAAGTCAGTTGCATTGTTAAAGAGAGATTAAAATAATTTGACATGAAAGGCATTTTAGAGACAATACTGCCTGTCTGACTTGCTGATTTGCACAGAACCTAATGCATCATTCAGCTCTGCTACCACCTGACAGCTGCTCAGCATCTAATGGGAAATGTGAGGGTGGTCACAGTCCAGTTCATAGTGGACAGGTGCTGGCATCACAAAAATCATCATCACAACTGGCACTAATTGGCACCTTTGTTGACAGTCTTGGCAGAGAGGCCACTGATTGAATCTGCACAGAGACTTCTTGCAAACTCTGCTGGCTGTGGATGCAAGGCTCATCTCATCCTTCACTTAAACCATCCTTAGTTTTGCACATATTTCCGGGGAGCACAGTCAGGTCCTGACACTCTGTTTGCCTGAAATTTCTGCGAGCATGCACATTGCTGTGGCATCTCTCTGGAAGTGATGCCTCTGCACAGAGGGTTAGACACACCTCAGGGACAGCAAAACCTGCCAACTATGCTGGCCAGCAGAAGAGCTTGTGAGCTCTGGCTTGGGGTGGAAGAAGACAAAAGGGGATCAAACCAAATGCTGTTCTAAAGGAGAAGCTACATGACCCACACAGAGCTCCAGTTTCACCCAAGATTTTCTTAATTTTGGTTTATTTTAGGTATAACTGGGATTCTGTGAAGTTTTAGCAGCCACTTTTACTGTGTGCTTCTGTTTATTCTTTTGAATGAAGGTCCTGTTATTTATCTCACTCTCAGACATGATATGAGGCTTTGCTAACTAACCTGTGTCCTAAAGTATTTAAACATTTCTGATGGAAGTCCATAGACACATTAAATACCAGGATTCAAATTTATAGGAATTTTGTTTCTTAATAATTCTATTAAATGAGTTGCAGGCAGTGACTATTGAATATATCAATTTTGCATTTATACATCATTCATTCTGCTGTACATACAGTTGCATGAAATGAAGTTTCTTCTGTCACCTCAGCCTATCTTGTCCAAATCTGCAATTAAAACTAATTTTCCTTTGGTATATAGAAACCTGTACTGTTTGTAGGTTAATTATCAGTTTATATTTTTTTTATGTCCATAGACAAATAAGACAGTAATTTGACTAGGATTTGAGAATGTTTAAATGGTAACAAATAGAATTTAAAAGAGGGTGATGAGTTTGATTGCAATTAGCAGTAACTGAAGTATAGAGATGTTCTTAGAGCTCATTAGTACTGTTTTCCAAAGTGAAGAAAAAAAGGCAGGCAGATAGGAGGGAAGGAAGGACAATAAACAAAGGAAGTAAATAAAAAATAGGAAGGCTGGATAAAAAGACAGAGAACAGTTCTAATTTTATGTGTATGTAAAAAATGTTGAATTTATTGCACATGGGTTTGTCAGCATATGGATAAAAGTGATTTTAAAAAAACCTAGAAAAGTGATAAATGAAATCAGGCAAAAAAAAATTATAAAGCACTGAAAAAATATGTAAAAAACCCAAGGTTTGTCTGTATCAATGTACCTGAGGAAGAATGTGCTTTCATTAGGAACAACAAGGTTATAAGATAATATCAGCACTCAAAACACCAAGACTGTAAGATAATAGGAGGCTCAATACACCACCAAGCAAGAGTCTGAAATTCTCCCCATTGATTTTTCACTTGTGTATTACATCTGATCCCAAGGAAATACCTTCTCATTTACATGCATCTACATAAATTCTGGATGAAGCCACCAGCTTTTCGTCCTCCAGTGTTAACAATGAGCAGTGGCTGCTACACTGTGCTCCTGCAGACACTCTGGAAACATGTCATCGTTAGCCTAATGAGGGAAAGGGGGAGAGAAATTGCTAAATGTTTTCTCTCTAGCCCAATTAAAGGAGAGAGAGCAAGACGAAGAGAGGGGGAAGGTGTGCTGGAGGGAAAGCTGGGTACGTGACAGATTTCTTCCTGCCTTTAGCTACAAGAGCATTCTCGTTAGGTAGAACTGAAAAAGACAAGAGGATGTGGGAATACAAAGGATAAATCCTTTGACTGAAATCAGACTGTGGCAGCATGGTCCATCAGTCTGAGCTGCACATTACCTTCCAAAAATAGCTTGCTTGGGAAGGAAAGAATATGATACCAAGTACACTATTGTTATTACTGGTCTTAAGACAAATTATCCATACAAATAGAAAGGAACAAAATTTGTCTGCCTGCTGAAAGCCTCCTTGGCCATCCACAGTCCCCTTTTAGGACTGCTGTAGAGGGAGAGAACTGCTTGTGTGTGAAGGACATCTCCAGTTTAGAGGTTGTTGGGCTCACTGATAAGTCAGTGCCAGCTCACTCTTTATAAAGCAAACTGAATTGATCCCATGAAACATGAACTGTGGCATGAAACATGAATTTCTGGCACTGAATTGTGCCAGAAACATCAGGCCTGGTAGAAAGGGTGTCTATATCCCTAAAAACATGCTAGGTCCCAAACTTGTCCTGTGCCATGGACCTTGACACTGTCAGGTGGTAGCTCACTGGGCCCAGACTTTTACCAGGTACCACAACAAAAATTTCCCATTACAGATAATTGCAAGCCAGAACTCAGGGCCTCATGTCTGGCCAGTATAGATTTTTTCATGACTCGGAAGTCTTTGGGGGTGAGTGTGTGTTTTGGAATCCAGGTGAGCAGTGAGCTGAGGCTCCTAGCTAAAACCCATGGTGTGAAGATTTGCACAGGTATCACTGAAGCCAAGGAGAATGTTCTTTTTCCAAACACAGAAAAGAATGTTGCATCCAGTCCTATGGCATGACACTGTACACACATTCTCATATGACAGAAGAATACCTGCTGCTTTAAACTGCAGCACAGATATAAATGGACGTGCTAGAAGCATTTCTTTGCACCCACAGCTCCGCTGTTGTCTCCACATGCTGCTAATAGCACCTTTCTGCCATGCGGTGACTGCATATTGAAAATGTATCCAGCCCATGGGCCCCAAACACTGCTGACAGCCTGCATGTGACTCAAGGTCCATGGGCAGGTCCACGGTGTCTGCAACAGGACAAACACATGAGGAGGCAGGTGAGGGGTGGGAGTCAGAAGAATTTTCTTTGTGCCCAGACTCTGATATTTTACAACACATTAAGATGCAAAGGCATTGTGATGCAAAGTTTTTTCCATGGGTTAAAGAGACCTATGACCAAAGGTAACTAGGAAGGTGGGAGTTTCTTTGTTATCACATCAACCACCAATCCCTGATGCAATTCCAGAATTATATCCCACACTGCTCTCATGACCTGCACAATGGCCTGAGTCATTCAGTGGACA